AATGTTCCGGGTAGTGTGAAAGCGGCCAGTCTGGAGAAGCGCTTTCAACATCCATGATGCCTCTGTGGACAGCTTCTGGGCAGCGTAGAACATGGGTAGCTTGGGGTCGAACAGGGCGCCCAATGCGTTGAAATTGTCACCGTAAGGGCGGATATTGTCTAAGATGTGAGCGCTTTCTTTCTCGGGCTCGAAGACCGCTGGGTTAGCGCCCCCCCGCGCGTGAGACTATGTTTGGCATGCGTGGCGCGCTTGAAGAACATCTGTTGTTTGACGTGCCGCTGAACATTTTCCAACGGTTCAAACAATCCGCAAAAACGCATTCCTCGAAGCTGGCGTTCGGAATCGATTGCACTGCCTGGCCTCGGCGGCCTCGCCGCGCGCCCTGCCTGGTCCGGGATGGGCTCCGTCACGTGCGGGAACGCGCGGGGCGCGCGCGAGACTGGCGGCATCTCTGGGGCGCCATCCATTACCATCCCCACGAAACCTTCCTTCCTCCTCACAGGCGAAGTTCCAATCGCCCATCCGTTGTCACCTGGTTCGTCCTGCTGCAAACGCTGTAGCACGCCGCAACGGCAAGGATGTGGGGCCGGACGCGTTCGGGATGTAGGGGTTGCACTTTTACAATATGTAGCCGTCTTCGAGATTCGACCAGCGACGGGGGGGAGTGGTGCACGGTCAAAAACTGGGAGCGCAATGCGTCGGATACAAGAGCGATGGCCCCACCTGTCCCGATGGGATCGTGGAAGAAAATCAGCCACGGGAATGGGGGCGCAACTCTTTTCGAACTCAGCATTCTCGCCCTCGTGACCGCGCGTTTCTTCTGCAATCGTGAGAATGCGTTTCGCGGATGCGTGCATTTCTTGAATCTTTCCGATGCGCGCCGGGTCTCCGAACGGACGCAACGCGCCAACGCATCCGCGTTCAGCGAGCAGGCCATTCAGGAGGACGGAAGATAGAAACTATTACAAGAGGGCGCTTCCTGAAAAGCGAAGTGGCAATGCGCGATTCAATGCTTGAGCTTTCGTTGAATGACGTGCCAGTCAGGGGGGGCTGCGGCGGCCCTATGCCGAACATGACTGTTTGTCTTGGCGCTTGATTAATGCGGTGCTTCACTGTCGGGTTCAACGCCTACAGGGGGCGTGTATTTGCACCAGGGCCGCGCGCTTGATGGCAACTCGAGTATTGATAATGTTATGTTTACTAAGGGCGCCAGGCGATGCATCTCTGGGGACGCGGCCATCCTCGGGCACCGAAGCCTTCGCAGCTGGTGCCGAGTCTCCCCGAGCTCCCAGGATGAAGGCCGCGCTGCCCAATCCTGCCCTGCCCTTCTCGAAGCCGCGGGTCTCAAGCGAGTGTCTGGTATCCCTGTGGTTCCTCTTTCCCCTTTTGTTGTCCTTCTTCCTTGGCCGTTCCACGCGCGGTGTTATCCACCTGGGCCCCTCCTCATTTCTGTGGGGTGCTCCCAAGGCGTCGACGCGGGCGCGGCATCGCATTTCACTTGCGTTCTTTGCCCGAGAACCTGAAGTCACAAACGCAATTATATATACATATGAAAAAAAACAAAAACAAAAAACTTGGGGTTTCATGGGCAGTTCTTCGCGCCGCATCCCCAACAACATGCGTCCTCGACCTTTCGCCAAACCTGCTCATGTGATTTCAGTGCAATGCCTGCCGCGTTGGTCTTTTTCATGACCTGCAGTCCCGATGATTTAGATAACACTTTGGCGGGCCTTCAGGCCTCGCTGTTCCCGCCCCAGGGCTCGCACGCAACGCCCACTTTGGTCGAGGCCCCTGGGCCTGGACCGCACGTCCCAAATCATATGGGGGCCTTGCCAACCCTGCGCCATGCTCAAATCAAACTTGGGCATTGTGATGTACTCGGGCTTGTGTTGTGCTGTTCCAGAAATGGCTGGGATGATCCACCTGCAAGACATCTCATGGGGTGTGCAGGTTTCGAAAGATGGACCTTCCCCGTTGAGACATCATGCTGGACGCATGTATAGGTTGCAACGGTCCATGGGGCGATCATGCAAGTCCAATGGGGTATCCCCCATGCCCCCCCCCCCCCAACCCCATGTGCCCCACCTCGCCCTCCCCGCCCCCCGCCCCCCTCACACACACGTCTGAGGGGTTAAAAGGTGGCAAGAGCACTTGCCCCAGCCCCGCCTGCAACCCCCACCCAACCCTTCCCGCCACTCCCCCTCAAGAGGGTATGTTGGGGCGCGGCAATGAGGGGTGGAGTACTAGAAGAACACGTGTGTGTATACATGTATGAACCTGTATGTATTCATGCATGTATGTATGTCTGCATGCATGCATACATGCAAGTCTGTATGTACGAATACATGCATGCATGTATGTGTACACAGATACATACACACATACATACATACATACATACATACATACACACACATACATACATACATACATACATACATACATACATACATACATACATACATACATACATACATACATACATACATACATACATACATCGTTGTGGCTGCATTTATGCATGTATGTATGTAGGTAGGTAGGTATGTGTATGTATGTGTATATCAGAGTGAGGGCGCCGAACGGTCATTCATTGTCCCTGGTGCGTGGCTGAAATGCGGATCCCTGGTGAAGATTCTGCTTGTTGTTGTTGTCGTCCCCCACGCGATCCGGTCCGCGACCCATCCCGCGACCCAACCGCGACCCACCCGCGACACACCCCGCGACCCGCTCGCGACCCACCCGCGACCTACCTGCGACCCACCCGCGACCCACTCGCGACCCGACCCTCGACCCACCCGCGACCCACCGTCGACCCACCCGCGACCCACCTGCGACCCAACCCGCGACCCACCTACATTGTTTTAACAAAGAATAGGCCCCTGCGGCGGGCTCGTTGTATAGCTTGAAAAATTTTGCGCCTGCGGCGGGCTTCTTCAAAGCCTCGCAGACTGCCGACGTCCCCGCCGCCCCCTCCGTCTTAGCCGCAACTGCGGGGTGCTACGTATACATGGTTGTGCATGTATGCATGTATTTGTGTATGTCTGCATGTGTGTAAGTTTGTAGATGTGTATGAATGTATGTTTACATGTGTGCAAAATAAGTAGCACCCCGCTTTTGCGGATAAGAGGGGGCCGCGGGGACGTCGGTAGTCTGCGAGGCTTTGAAGAAGCCCGCCGCAGGCGCAACATTTTTCAAGCTATACAACGAGCTCGCCGCAGGGGCCGATTCTTTGCTAAAACAATGTAGGTGGGTCGCGGGTTGGGTCGCAGGTGGGTCGCGGGTGGGTCGACGGTGGGTCGCGGGTGGGTCGAGGGTCGGGTTCCGAGTGGGTCGCGGGTGGGTCGCAGGTGGGTCGCGGGTGGGTGGCGAGCGGGTCGCGAATGGGTCGCGGGTGGGTCGCGGTTGGGTCGCGGGGGGTGGGTCGCGGGTGGGTCGCGAGGTGGGTCGCGGGTGGGTCGCGGGCCAGGTCGCGTGGGGAACAACGACAACGACAACAACAAGCAGGATCCTCACCAGGGATCCGCACTTCAGCCACGCACCCAGGGACAATGAATGACCGTTCGCCCTCCTCAATCTGACATACAACTAGAAAAATACATGTACGTATGCACGTGCACATGCATGTATGTATGTGTATGCATACATGCACGCATACATGCATACATACATAGTTTTGCATGTATGTATGTATGTATGTAGGTATGTAAACAGTTATGTATGTATACACATATGTATTTCTACATAAATACATATGTGTGCACGTGTATGTATGTATGTGTGTGTTGTCTGCATGTGCGTATGTATGTAATTTATGAATGCTCATATAGCTGTGCAGGTATGTATGTATGTATGTATGTATGTATGTATGTATGTATGTATGTATGTATGTAGTTGTGTGCGTATGTGTTTGTTTTGTGTGCATGCATGCATGCATACATGTATGCATGCGTGCGTGCATGTGTGTATGTATTTATGTATGTTTGTAGGTGTGCATGTGTGTATGTATGTTTGTATGGATGCATGCATGTATGTGTGTAAATACGCACGCGCGTATGCATATATGTATGAATGTATAGGAGTAGGTCTGTTTGTTTAGAAACATATGTGCATGCTGGATGTGTGTATGTATGTACATCCATATGAATACGTGTATGTGTATGTAGATGTGTATGTGTGTTTCATGTGTCTGTAGGAATGTAGTTATGTATGCATGCACGCCCGCACGTTTGTATGCACGTGTGTATGTGTACATATACATATCATATATGCAGATGAACCAGATTTTCGTTCCCCGCTTTCACCCTGGTCAAAGCCACGGGGCACATATGATCGGGCACTGTCATTTTTGTATGAATCTGACTTTCAGGGATTGTGAAGCGACGGACCCTTTGATTCAAATGCAAATTTCAATGTCCATCAGATGTTGCTGTAAACTGCATTAGATCGCTGGATATGAACAAGGAGCTGATCTGAGAGTCTTTGATTTCGAAATATTGCCAATTGCGCTATGATTTACAAGCGTGCCGTGGCCTCTCAATGGGGGAACATGCACCGACATATAGAGCCCTTCGCCCTAAGACGACCTCCGAGACCGCCTGCGGGGCCCCGAGAAGCCCCCGAGAAACTCCAGGAACCCCCTAGAAGCAGCCCCCAAAAGGCTCCGAAGAAGATACCGAGAGGCCCCCAAACCGCGTCCCGGAGGCTCCCGAAAAGCCTCCCAAGAGATCCCCACATGCATCCCAAAGGCCTCGGACCAACAAATTAGGTACGGTGACGGACTCTGCCGAAGGCCACCAAATCTAGGTCGTAAAGCCAGTCCGACGCCAAACGCAAATCAACCGAAAGCTGCATCCATCCCCCCAAACCCCTTATCACCCGAAGGGTGGCAAGGGGAGGATAGAGCGACCGCGATGCTGGCAGGAAAGCTAAGTTGGCAAGTGGAATGACGCACAAGGCATGAGCGAGAAGTCGAGTGCACTCTCCGTCTGATGCCGCGCCTGCACTGAGGGCGCCCACGAACGCCAAGATCCCCATGCCTCGCGGGCGGACGCGCCGGACGCATGTCTGCACATCTGAGGGGCCGCGCGAAACACAGCCTGGGAGCACTCAGAGATCGGGGGCGCAAGCGCAAGATCAGTGCCACGCCGTGGGAACCCAGCTGCATGTGTTGTCATCCGGACGAGAGCGAAGGAGAGACACAGGCGAGTAGCACGCCAACGGGCTTTCAGCGGCGGCGCGTCAGCGATGCTCGTTTCCCCGTCCCGAGGGATCCCAGGAGGGGTGGCGCTGGCGGGGCAAGGTGGACCGACACAGGGAGACGCACGCAGAAGCACGGCAGAGCGAGGCCGAGAGACGGCGGCGCGTCAGTGATGCTCGTTTCCCCGTCCCGAGGGATCCCAGGAGGGGAGGCGCTGGCGGGGCAGGGTGGACCGACACGGGGAGACGCACGCAGAAGCACGGCAGAGCGAGGCCGAGAGACCGGCCCTGAAAGCGCAGAGACGTCAGCACAGGGAGCGCGCGGCGAGCGGGGCACGCGCCTCCTCCTCCTCCTCCTCCTCCTCCTCCTCCTCCTCCTCCTCCTCCTCTTCCTCTTCCTCTCCTCCTCCTCCTCCTCCTCCTCCTCCTCCTCCTCCTCCTCCTAGTACGAAGGGGCGCCGGATATAGAACGAAGGGAGCTTCCCTGGCCACGGCGAGCCGCGGCCACGGACGGGGTCCAGACCCCGGATCAGCGGGGCGGCCCGACAGCAGCCTCCCGCCGAAAACGCCAGCTCCTCCCGAGCCCGACGTGGTAAACTGTACGTGCGAGGCGGGGATTGTTCGATCGGCGCCGCCTGGCCTATAGATCTTCGGGGACCTCGGCAGGCGGTGGATATGGATATGTTCGGCCCCCCGCAGGGCCCGAACGTATATCCATGTCCACAGCCAGCCGAAGTCCCGAAGTTCGATGCCCCGATCGGTGGTGATGGATATATCCCCGCCTCGGGGTATGGTCGTTCAGAGCCTAGCGACGTCAACTGTACCCTGACTCGTGCTGGAGCTGAGAACCGATATCTCCAGATTCTTCAAGGAAGACCGGAAGAGAGAGGAAAAAGACTGGGATTCGCAGAAACCGAGAGAATGGAATGGGGCAACCTGCGAAGGGCCAGAGAACGGGGACACTTCGAAAAAGAAAGACATCGGTACACGCTAACATGGATGAATGCTCCGTGGGTCTTGCGCGTTGGCGTCGGACACGCGGATCGGGGACAATGCCCCCCCCCCCCCAAAAAAAAAAACCATGAGGCATATGCCGCCTGCTTTGGCGACGGAGCGCGCCGACACTGCGCAGCACCGGGACCGCTCGCTGATCCTCGCGGCTTCGTCCACGTGCGCTTCCTCGTGAGATTAGAAGCGACGACGACAAGAGAGGGGGCGTTGCCACCTGGGCTCAAGACTCTACTCCACCTCCCCCGTCTTCCTCGGGCTCCGCCCCAACTCGCCCCCCTACATTGCCCATGCCAAACTCCACCATCCCCATCCCCAAATCCGTCTCCTCCTCCTGCTCCGCTTCCACCTGCCCATTCCCCTTCCCCCCCCCCCTCCCCCTCCTCCTACCCCTCCCTCCCGCTCCCCGTCCCCCTCCCCCTCCGCCTCCCCCTCCACCTCCCCCTCCTCTCCACCTACCCCGCCCCTCCCCCGCCCCCTCCCCCCCCCCAAACTCCAACCCCCACCGCCCCCCCCCACCCCCCTTAGTTGTCAGTCGCCTACTTCTAAATCTCATACAAGCGCAAGCAAAAGACATAATTGGCACGCGTGCAAACCAAACCGGAATAGAGAGATAGGAAGAGAGAGAGAGAGAGAGAGCGAGGGAGCGAGAGAGAGAGAGAGAGAGAGCAAAAGGAGAGCCTGGGGACCCTTGGGGAGTTCATGGTGGTCCAGACTCCTCACCTCCTGTATCCTTCCCCAACTGGGAACGCAGCTCGGAAGGGATCCCCATGACCAACCGAATCCCTGGAAGCTCTTCCTTCAACAACCTGCGTATCTCACTGCACTCGCGACTAAAAAGGCAACCGCCCAACAGCTCGGGCCCACACTGGGTTGCGGCGAAGCCTCCAGACCTGGCGCGCCAATTTCCTGAGATGCCAGGACCGATCACCCAGGAAACGTGGAGCGCGCGACACTCGCGAGGGATGGGGGCGGCGCCGGGCGGGATCGTATCTCGACGGCCTCCTTACAAACATCACCAGTCTGCTCCTGGAGAGTCGGCCTGTTTGCCTGAACAGCTTAGAACACGCCTGTGCAGATCGAAGAGCGAGGCCCTCCTCGTCATTCGAAAACCCGATGTCACTAGCGGCAACTTTCGAAAAATGAGCTGCCAGGCCGTTCTCTTCAATCAAACGGGCGTCCGCGTCGTCGATCGCCTCGTCGTCTGCCCTATTGGCCTGGCCATGGCTGCAGACCGCCGCTCGCTCGGGGCCCGCGACCATAGACATAGCGCGCCAGAAACAGCCCCGGGTGCGCTCGGTGGTGAACTTACGCCTGGGGGGGGGCCACAAGAGCCTTACAGTCAACCAGCAAATCAGTCCCCTCGAGACCGTCCTGAGAAACCATAGTGGCCGAGTCGCCCGCAAAGTGCTCGGCAGAAACAGCCGTCTGAGGCAAAGTCATCTGGAACCCCTCCTCGCTCAGGCGGGGCCTCCCTGGAGGGAGGAGCACGAAACCATGTAAATAATATGGGTTTCCGATACCTCCTCGCTCAGGCGGGGCCTCCCTGGAGGGGTGGGAGGGGCACGAAGCCATGTAAATAGTAAGGGTTTCCGATACCCTTCTCGCTCAGACGGGGCCTCCAAGGAGGGGTGGGAGGGGCACGAAACCATGTAAATAGTATTGGTTTCCGATACCCTCCTCGCTCAGGCGGGGCCTCCCTGGAGGGGTGGGAGGGGCACGAAACCATGTAAATAGTATGGTATTCCGATACCCTCCTCGCTCAGGCGGGGCCTCCCTGGAGGGGTGGGAGGGGCACGAAACCATGTAAATAGTATGGTTTCCGATACCCTCCTCGCTCAGGCGGGGCCTCCCTGGAGGGGTGGGAGGGGCACGAAACCATGTAAATAGTATGGTTTTCCGATACCCTCCTCGCTCAGGCGGGGCCTCCCTGGAGGGGTGGGAGGGGCACGAACCATGTAAATAGTATGGTTTCCGATACCCTCCTCGCTCAGGCGGGGCCTCCCTGGAGGGGTGGGAGGGGCACGAAACCATGTAAATAGTATTGGTTTCCGATACCCTCCTCGCTCAGGCGGGGCCTCCCTGGAGGGGTGGGAGGGGCACGAAACCATGTAAATAGTATGGGTTTCCGATGCCCTCCTCGCTCAGGCGGGGCCTCCCTGGAGGTATGGTATGGTATGGAATGGTAGGCATGGCCTGATATGGGAGGCTGGAATGGTAGGCATGGTATTGATATGGGAGGCGGGAGGCGGGAGGGAGAAGGAGAGGATGTTTTGGGAAAACAAGAACCCCACTCAGGATGTGGGGAACAAGCAAACCGCTTGAGACATCCACACAAAACGGCAGCGAACGGGACCGTGCAACACCCCTCGGCGGCTCCCCTTAGGGGTGTGAAAATGAGCGCCTCGCTCGAGAGATCCTCCAGATCTGCTCCGAAAGCGAAGGATGTTGGGACAGAAAACAGGCAAACCCCTTGAGACATCCCGGCAAAACCGCAGCGAACGGGACCGTGCAATACCCCTCGGCGGCCCCCTTTCGGGGGGGTGAACATGAGCGCCTCGCTCGAGACATCCCCCGAGTCTGTTCCGAAAGCAAAGGATTTTGGGACAGAAAACAAGCAAACCGCTTTAGACATCCCCACAAAACGGCCGCGAACGGGACCGTGCAACACCCCTCGGCGGCTTCCCTTAGGGGTGCTGAAACCAGCGCCCCGCGTGAGACATCCCCACGATATGCTGTGTGTTGAGTAAGTCAACCAATGAGAAGGTCTGAGTATGAGTAAGTCTGGGTATGAGTGAGCCTCAGCATGAGTAAGTCTGAGTATGAGTAGGTCTGAGTATGAGTAGGTCTGAGTATGAGTAAGCTAATATGATCAGGTCTGAGTATGAGTAAGTCTGTGTATGAGTAAATCTAGGTATGAGGAGGAGGAGGAGGAAGAGGAGGAGGAGGAGGAGGAGGAGGAGGAGGAGGCGTCCAAGTAATAACAAGAACCCCATCTTGGGATATGGGGAATAAACTGTTGGCGCTCCGCTCTGATTTCTTGGATCTGCGCTGGACCCCATCCATGGCGCGCGGAGCGCGCCGGGGGCGGCGCCGGAGGCGTCGCCAGGGGGGGCCAAGCGCGTATCCAGGAAATCCGCGCGGCATGCCAACAATTTGTGTTTATGCAGTTTTTTCCTCTTCGATTAGATCTCCTTCTTCAGACATCTGATCTACAGCGCAGCCCACGCGGGCCAACGTTCATGCGTGTCTGGGGTAGAGACTTCTTCCGTAAGAGCGCAGAATCGCCCCGAGCGTACTATAACAAAGCTCGCGCGGCGGGCAAAACTCGTCCGCTAAATTAGTGTGCCAAGCCGAGTCAGGCTGAACGACGTCGAGCTTGGCAACCCAGCCATGCGAGAAGAGTGGGCGCCGCCCGGCCCCCTCCAACGCCTGACGCATCAAGCCTTCGACTCATCCTCCATAGCAACTCTGCCATGAGAGCGCTTCCAGATGCGGCACTACAAGATGTCACTGCAGCGGCAGTAGGGACATGTTAAATTGCAATGTCGAAGCCTCACCTCTTCAGCTTGACGAGAGCGGGGTGGGAATCGCGAACGACTTGGTGAAACAGTCGGTGTGGAAAGAGGCCACAATCATTTCTTAATGAGCTCTTACCAGGTGCTACGATCTAAGATGCATTGCCATCCTGGAGCAGGGGGCTTAAACTTATGTTGGATTTCCCTATGGAGGTGCTTACTTTCCTGCTGGGTGGCCAACAGCTCCGTGACATAAGTAGGGCTTTGGGTGGTTAACACGCTTTCCATCCCATTAACATCAACAATTATGGCACGATGTTTGATATCTCATCTGGAAACCACGAGATGCCATCTTATACTGGACCTTTGCTCGTTGTCTGACGCCTTTTAGCACTGCACGACAACATCTAACAAAGGCCGAATTGAAAGTTTGGCTAAGGATGTGAACGGGCGAAACATCATCGTGCACTTGCTGATCCTGGTGGCCTAGATCTCGCCACACACTATTCTCAAACATATCTGAGCATGGACATCGCGGCAACGTCGATCGGGCCTGTGGCTCCTGAGAGGGCCCACGCAGATCCGTTGGACCCCTTCTGAGATGCCACGATCTCGCGCCCCAGCCGCCCTGATTGGCGGGACTTGTTTGCGACTGAATCATACAATCTCACCACCGTGCCTTCAGTCTGGCTTCGAATGGCTATGAAACGGTCGTGTTCCGTGCCGCGGCTTGGTCTTGATCATCCTAAGCCGCTGTCGGCTGAAAGAACATGTTGCAAACCTCTTGGCCCTAGACTTGTCTACCGAAATTCTCTCGAAACGTCCCCGAGATGAAGCCCACCGCATGGTGAATTACCGCAGGGGAAGCTCACCCCTCCGAGGTCCCGGAAGGCCACCCTCGTCCTGGCAGGAACGGCCCACAAGAGGCCGTCATGGCAAACTTCCCGACGGACATCGGGAGATGAAGTGGACGCTGGAGTGGGCATACTGCCAGAGAGCTCCTTCATGGTGCTGAGGGCCCAGCCTGCAGTGCGTCCCCAAACTTGCAAAAGAGCTCATCAATGTGAAGAGACTCGGCGGCCCGATCAGGCCAGCTCTCTGCCAGGGCCTCCATCCCAGGCTTTAAGCAGAACTTAGCTTCACATGTTGGTGCGCTGCTGCCAACTACAATCCCTCGGGTGGCCCACAACTGGGGCGCGGACCCAACCGTAAGACGAGACAGAGAAGTCCAAGAGATCGAGATGATAGTTGCCCAGGTCCGCATGCTCCCTAAGCCTATCCCTGGGCACATGCTCGTCAAACTGTTGAATGTCCAAGAGAAGGTTCAAGACATGAAGCTTGCTAAACCCCCCTCCCCCTCCCCCTCCACCTCCCCTCCCCTCCCCTCCCTCCCCCTCCTCCTCCTCCTCCTTCTCCTCCTCCTCCTCCCTCCTCCTCCCTCCTCCTCCTCCTCCTCCTCCTCCTCCTCCTCCTCCTCCTCCTCTCCTCTCGCCCCCCTGCCCCCCCTCCCCATCCGCACCCACCACGCCATCCTTCTCCCCCCGCACTTGCCGCCCAGCACTCCCAATCCCAGACATCTGGCGATTCGATCTGTTCAGTGCGCGGCCCCAGGGGCTGAAATTTCGACCCTTCCCCAGTGGTAGTACTCCGTCCCAGACTCATTTTTAATTGCCCTGGGGCCCGAATGCGAAATCGACGAAACACGCTTGGATTAGAGGAATACAAATAACATCCGCCGACCACGGCTTGCAGGGGGTGAGAAGGCGCGTGAGATGACTGGCTGTCCCTCCCCGTTCCCGCCCCCCCAAGGTCCAACATCTCGTCTGAGGGGGGGGACATCCGGGCTCTCAGTGCTTCCCCTGAGACTCCGGAGCTTCCAAATCTGCCTTCCGTGGCCTCAAGCACGTTCCAAGGCGGTCCCGAATCGCTGAACGATTAACCCAAGACGTTTGGGATGGCTCCAAGACGCGCCAAGATGCTTTCGAGACGCCCCAACTGCCTTCCCAAGAGGGCCCCGAGAGACACACATTGGCGTTCTCCCCTTTTCTGGCCCCCGAGACAGCTTAAAAAGAATTCCAGGAGGGTCTCAAGACGGCCGCAAAGCTCCCCAAGACTGCCCAAGAGGCGCCCAAGACTGCCCAAGAGGGCCCCAAGGCGGCCCCAACGACGTTCCAAGGCGGTCCTGAATCGCTGAAGGATTGGCCCAAGACGCTCACGATGGCTCCAAGACTTCTCACGTCGCTTTCGAGACGCCCCACGACCCTGAGGGCTCCTAGAGGCAACAATCAATGACTTTCAATGCTTTTCCTTTGGTGTTTGACAGATTGTATCGCTCTCTCCTTTTCTGTTTTCTGACGCTCCAAGACGGCCCAAGCGGCCCCGTAGGCTTCCCAAGAACTGCCCATGAGGCCACTACGCGGCTCCAAGACGGCCCAAGAGGGGTCCAAGACGGGGGCCCAAGACGGCCAAGGATCGCCCCAAGAGGGCCCCAAGAGAGGCAAAGAGGGATACCACGAACCGAACATACTATCTTTCCCCCCCGAGAGGCTCCCTAAAGGCCCCAACAAGCCCACAAGCGGTCCAGAAGAGGCCCCCAATAAGCCCCAAGAGGCTCCAAAGAGGCCCCCCAACGGGCCCCAAGACGCTTCAAAACCGCCTCCGGGAGGCTCCGCCAGGCCACCAGATAGCTCCCAAGACACCCACAAGAGTCCCCAAACAGTGCCCGAGAAGCCCACGACGCCTCACCTGTGGACCCCCTGCCTCTCCTGGGGGTCGGCGGAATGGCGCAAGCCTCTTGAGCAAACATCAGCTCTCGGAGGTCCGCGCGGACTTCTCGGATTGGCGCTGGAGCCCCCTCCCTGGCGCGCGGAGCGCGCCAGGGGCGGCGCCAGGGGAGCCCATCGCCGACCCAAGAAATCCGCGCGGACCCAGGAACGTGTATGTGTGTGTGTGTGTGTATGTGTGTGTGTGTGTGTGTGTGCCGCTCGTTCCCCTGCGACGCCTGGATTGAGGCTTCAAGCATATCGATCGGGAGCGAGGCGGGTCGGCTTCTGAGAGCGCGGCGGGGCTTCTGCCCCTGGGTCTGGGCGCTGCGATTGTTTCTCGCACTGGGCATGCTCGCCCAGTGTTGGGCTCCGGGGCCAGGTGGGCTTCGAGGAACATCGTTTTATGTGACTCCTGGACGGAAGAGTTGCGAGTATCCAACTGGTTTCGTTCTCTGACCCCACCGTGGGAGAACCCCTCCGCTGCGGGCCCCCCCCTGCCCAGAGGCGGCCGAGAGGCGGGCGCCGGGCCTGCGACGGGCGTCGCCCGCAGCAGGCCCCTGGGGAGGCTGAAGATGCCAGCGCCGATCATGTTCTGCGGGCGGCAGGGGCCGGCGGCAGGATCAGCCAGGGAGACGCGGACTTGGACGTGCCAGGGGCGGCACCGGAGGGGCCGCCAAGGAGGCCCAACAATGATCCACAATGATCCACGAGATCCGCCAGGGTGAGAAATCATGCTTATGCCGTTTTTTGCTCTTCGACGCTTAGGGGCCCCAGATCTGGGACGGGGCGAAGAGGCGGCCAGGAGCGGGTGGATGTGTACTTTCACAATGAGTGCGGGAAAACATGAGCACCACGCCCAACAGCAGATGTGGTCCAAAACCGACAGCGGTCGCTGTCGGGCAGGCGGCCTTCTGTCTCAGATGGACCATGTCCGCAGCGACACCGACATCGAGCCCTGCTCAAGATGACCAGGACATGTTGTCGGTCGTGGTGCCCATTCTCTCCATACCCACTTCGATCGTCTCGGGGGGAGGCCTAGGCCGCGGACGCTCCGTCGACCCGCAGCTGACCTCCTGGCTCTGCCCTGGGCGCTGCAAATGCCGACGCGGCTCCGCCGCAACCCGCGAGGGGGTAGTCGCTTGCTCCTGTCTGAGCTCGCAAACCAATTTCAAAGGGAAGGGGGGCACCTAAGATGACTAGAGAGAAGGACAAGGTGGATGGGGATGACAAGGAGGCGGAAATATATAATAACAACATAGCTGCCTAGACTATGAAGGCGTACGTACACGTTCGGAGATCCGCGCGAAACTCCTGAATCGGCATAGAACTCTGCTCCCTGGCTCGCGGGCCAAAGGGGGGGTCCGGCATGGATCTCCGACAGTTTAAGCGTTTGTCGTTTCCCGTCTCTCTCTCTCTCTCTCTCTCGGCTACACATAAGAAAGAGTGACCCTAAGCAAGAGTGACCTTTGGTGGGGACGTGGGGGAGGCCGAGTCGGAGCGCGCAAGCCGCTGCTGTCGCATCGCATTCCGCAATCTGGGGGCCCCAGTGTTCCCGCACCAAATGGCACTCCGGCGAAAGGTCGCTCTCACGTATATCCGACTCCGCGAGAGCAGCAACGACGGCGGCACATCTTGAGCATCCTTTCACCGATCCCTATCCCCACGGGCGTGGCCTGGGCCCCACCGGCCGATCTGCCCCCCAGGATGGGGATGCAGGCTGCTCCCCATCGGGCTTCGAGGGCCATATCCCCAACTGGGGTGGTGGGATGGTGGGGGTCGAGATGGGGATGGGGATGGGGATCGCTGAAGCGTTGGGAATCGAAAACTGGTCAGGTCAGTGCTCCTGCCCCTCCTCTCCCCCCTTCCTTCCTCGCCCCTCTCGAGGGAGGAGGGGGGAGAAAGAGGGGAAGGAGCGCTGACCTGACCAGTTTTCCCTTCCCGAAAACGATACTGTCGTCTGGGAGCGGCGTGCCAACCAGCAGGGAGGAAGCGCGGCCGCTTCGTCGGCCGCTCCGCGGCAGGAGCGCGCGCGCTGCGCGCGCGCTGCGCGAGCAGCGCCGGGATGCTCGCTCGCGGGCGGGCGTGCCGACGGGTGGGAGCCTCCCCGAGGGGGAGGATCAGCCAGTACCGAGCTGGGAAAGCGGAGCGGATCGGATCGTGCGTCGGCATCAGGCCGCATGGATCGCATCGGCCGCGCCAAGATGCACAAAAGCGCCACGCACGCATCGGGCCGCTCCGGATGGCCCGACAGTCAGCAATCGCATCGGGTCGAGTCGGCCGAGATTGGTATCGGATCGAGTAGATCGGACCAGAATGGGCCCCGAGGGCTGACGGGGTTGCGGTGCTTTCCGAGTCCGAGGGCCGCGCGGACGCCTCGCAGGTGGCGGGCCACGAGCGCGGCCGCGGGGAGCTCCGGAGAGGCGTCGCCCGGGCGCAGGCAGAGGGAGGTCCGCCCACCGTCAGCTCCGCGCGCCAGGGAGGGGGGTCCAGCGCCAATCCCAAACATCCACTCGGACCTCCAAGGGCGCACGTCTGCCACGCACGCGCACCGCGCCAACACATGCCACTGCTGCGGACAGGTCTCCCCGGGAGAGCAGATGGCACACGGGCCACGATGGCAGTGGCGTCCGCTTCGGCCACTGCCCCCTCTTTCTAGCGAGAAGCGAGAAAAGCAGCCACACTGGATATCCCCATGGGCGTGGCCAGGGCTCCACTTGCCGATTGATCCCCCAGATGAGGACATGGGCTGTTTCCTTCGGGCTTCGAAAGGTATATCCCCAACTGGGGTGCTGAACTGGCGGAGGTCTGGATAGGGATGGGGATGGGGATAGGGGTCGGTTAAACGGTACTGTTCCAGCAGCGGGCGCAAGTGAACCGAAGCAGGTGCAAGCGCCGGTCGGGCTACGGGCTGGACGCGGCGGCAACGATTTGGGGCACGGCGGAAAGCGGGGGGAGCAGAGGGGAGAAGAGCCTACGTACAGACATACAGTGGCCCACAGCGAGCGGGAGGCCCGCAGGCTTACTAACGACTGACCCCAACGACCCTTCGTCGACACCGGGGGCTCACAGGTGGCGGACAGCGAACGACTCTGCGAGGAGCCACCAGGGCCCTGTCGCAAAGGCCGCACCTCGAAAGTGGAAGAAGGCAATTCACACATCGACTTGGCAAGGTGGGGCCCCTATCAACCCCCGATACCCGTGCACGGCCGACCACAGCCATCACACTCGTCCTCGTCCTCGTCCTCCTCCTCGTCCTCCTTTCCTTTCCTTTCCTTTCCTTCCCATTTAAATGAATCCTCCCTGTCGCACCTGGAGGCTGGTCGAAAAAGCGGACGTTTCGCCTGAGACTTACTCACAACTTATGAGCCTGAAACTTTAGTACTGACAACAGTTTCACAGATGGAGGGCGGGCCGCTTCCAAAATGTGGTTATCGCAGCGTCGCGCGCATTCGTGTTAAACATTGCAATATTTTCACGGATTGAGGCCGGGTGGTTTTCTCAAACTGTGGCTCTCACCCTTGCGCAGCGCACATTCGTTTAAAACATTGCGAGAGTTTCTCGGGTGGAGGGCGGGTGGTTTTTTAAATGTGGCTCTCGCCTTCGCGCCGCGCACATACGTAAGTTATCAAGAACTTCACGGATTCAGGGCGGTTCCTTTTCAAATGGTGGCTGTCGCCTTAACACAACGCACACTGGCCTTAGAGATTGTCAGAGTTTCACGGGTTCCCATGGCCAACGTGCCAGAAATGGTGTCTTGAACGGACTCAAGATTGCGATGGCGCAACAATTACGTAGACTTGCAATGCTGAAGTCCCAAACATGGTGTTGTGGCACGGTTCTGGATCGTCAAGGCGTATCCGTCATGTTGATTATGGCGTTGAAGTCCCGAGAATCGTGCTTTCGCACGCTTCAGGGTCTTCAAACGGTTGTCTCCCAATTGGACACTTCCCTCAGTGGAAATGAACCAGTGTAGGGGCCTGTGAAGAGGGAGCTTGGAGGGAGGGTTTATGTATTCCAACATCGTTGATGAGTTTTCGGTTTACATTGGCCTCCTCCTCCTCCTCTTCCTCCTCCTCCCTTTCCTCCTCCTTCTCTCCTCCTTCTCTCCTCCTTTCGCATGGGGGGGGGGGGGCGGGGCGAGGCCCGCAGCAGCGACGCCCAACGTGGAAAGGAAACCCACTGACAAAAAAACGAAACACTGACTACGCACACAGGACCAAACAACTGCACGAATAACCGGGAACATCTTAATGAACCCGGCACGATCCCAATTAGGGGAACACTTCCTACTGCATGGGCGCAGTGCTTGGCTTGCTTGGCATTGCTTGGAGGAATCCGAAGGGCCCCGAGGAACCCGGGGAACCCAAGAGAAACGAGGAACCCGAGGAACCCGGGGAAAACGAGGAACCTCCGAGCAACGGGCAACGTTAGTTGGGGAAATAGGAGGCACCGGGGGTGGGGAACCCGAGGAACCCGAGAAATCTCCGAGGACCGGGCAACGGAAGAGTAGGAGGCACTGGGGGCTAGGAACCCGAGGAACCCGAGGAATTTCCGGGGAGTGGGCAAAGTGGTTCTCGGAGGCACCATTCTTCTAAACCAAGTAAGAACCACTTGGGCAAGCGAAATTGGAGAAAACTGCAAGCATAGTAATTTGCCACATGCTGTGTATACATCTATATACACACACCATGCACATAAGCTTTCGGAGACCCACGCGGATTCTGCCAGGGTCGTTGCTGGGCACCCTGGCGGCGACCATGGCGCGCTTTGCGCGGCAGGGCAGACCCAAGAACTCCAGGCATGTCAACGAAGGCGTATGCTGTTTCGTCTTTGCTATTGCTTATCCTCGTGCGTCGCTTCCGCTGCTCCTCCGTGCTCATGCTCGTGCTCGTTCCCAGCACAACGGCGCCCCCTCTCCACCTAATTACCCCTCCACCCCTGTTCGGGGTGGGGAGGGGGTTGCAATGATTTTGCTATCACGAGAAACGCTGAATGAAGCAGGGCTCGAGCTAAACAATGTGTCTTGTTTTCGTTTTGTGTTCGTGTTCCTCCGTGCTGTCTCCGTTCCACCTCTGCTCTAGAACGAACACAGAGCGAACGCGGTCCACGAAAATCGCCGAAACACCGCTTAGCTCGATCCCCGGAATGAAGAATGAAGGAGCCTTTCGTCGCACCACTTAGGCTCCCCAAACCTGGAGCTGGAACAGAGGGGCCTCCCTGCAACGTCGACGCCCCCTACTCCTGATTAACCCATCCACCCCTGTTCGGTGTTCAGGGTGGCGAGGTGGTTGCAATGCTTTTGCTACCACGGGAAACGACGAGGGAAGAATGAAGGAGCCTTTCCTCACACCGAACAGGTTCCCCAACATGGAGCTGGAACATATGGGCCTCCCTGGAAGCGTCGAGCCTCGGCCACCCGAGCAGACCCACGAGCCTGGATCGAAAGAGCGGCCTTTAGTCGAGCGTCTCTTCTGCATGCTCATATCTGTGTGGGGGGGGGGGACCGCTCGGGCCGCGGTGAATGGGGGTAGTTATCTCCAGTGAGGCCTGCGGCTGCGGGCGTCTACGCATGCACACGATCAACTGTACTGC